CTGCTCTAAGTGTCGCGGGCCTACCCCCGCTACTTGAGTGTTTACCCCCCTGCAACCCTCAAAGTCACGGCCACAGGTAAGTACCGGCCCTGCGGGGCCTTGCAATGCGGGTCACACACACACTCAACCGACAAGCACTCAGACAAGCATGCAAACCAGCAGGCACGCACACACACAGACTTGGAAACCACAGCAGAGTGCGGAAATCACAGCAAGGTATTCATTCCAGTGGCAAATCCCAGAAATGAGCAGTGTTCTCAGTCTGTGTTTTTGGCGGGTCATTACACCTTGCTGAATTACAGCAGCAAGCGCACAACAACACAACACGTCAGGCTACATACGAAGCAAGACAAGCGCGTTTGGATTCATTGTTCAAGGAGGCCGAAGTCTTGGCCTTGGCCACCAATTGTGAAATTCGGCCAAGGAGGAGGATGCCTCCGCGACCGTGCACAATTTCTTCACTGTCATCAAGCAAATGGTGGACCTGGTAGCCACTTGCATGGCCCAGCAAGAGGACATCCTCACATTGGACCAGCAAGTGCAGACATTACTCAACCGCGTACACACTTTGGAATAGTGGCCCATTGCAGCAACAGTCATTGGGTCCTCCAACGTCCCAGACAACATCAACACATTGGAGGTTGAAGTCAACACTTTGAAGAATGGCGTGCGACTGCAACTAATCACAACTCAGTAGCTTCAGATTGTTGATCAGCAACTGGAACATCAAATATGAACAGCAGCGCCTTGACGCCTCCGAACGCGTTCCCAAGTTGGATGACATCCCAGTCTTCTGCGATGCATCGAAGACTGATCCACTATCGTGGTGGAAGCAATTCGAGTTGCAGGTGCACATGTACAAGGTGCACGACTGCAACCACATGCATGTCTTTACCACCAGTCAGGCAGCCCATGCCAAGCATGGCTTGACAATATCTTATACACACTCAAGGTCGACATCTCTGAGCTGCACACGAAGATCAGTTGGGTTGATCTCACAATAGCATGGTACCCGTGGTTCCAAATGGAACCGCCCAAGCTCCAAGCGATGGAGAAACTGCAGAAGTTCCACCAGAACTCCTCATCAACCACGGATTGGATCGCCGAGTATCAACGCTTGGCATCCACGCCTGACTAGCCGATCAGCTGGAGTGAAGCACTACTTCATTACGAAGTCATATCTCGCATTGCAAAATGTCTTAATGCAAGCTGCAGAGATACTCACCACAAGTGAATTATTATTCAACAAGGCCTCGCAGATTATTATGACGAGCACGAAATCCCGCAACACCGTCCGTTCGTCTTCTGCAAGCCCGAGTAGAGATCAGCATCGGCCGAAAGAGGCCGTGATCGCAGCAACAACGCCAACCAATTTAGATGAGGCTGCTCCATGAGAGGAGGGAGATATGTCAGCAGCTTCTCGGGATGGTGGCCGTCCGATCAAAGGTCGAGGACGCGACAAATGGAGGACAACCACCTCTTCATCCCCCGGGACCGGAACAGCAACTTAAGAACCTTGACTCCATGACGGCATCTCGGAGGGCGTCTACAAGATCCGAACCACCCGAAAGGCAAGGGGAAATCCCATTCGGGAAAGTGAGCAACGCTGAGAGTGATACGGCTTTACTCTCGAGGCCTTCGGAACCGGTTGATGCGCGAGCGACCACCCTCCATCTCGAGGCACATGCGGAAGTCATGAGTTCTCTTCTTCATTCTTTCGAGGACTTTGCTGCCCAGCTCGTACCATCACTGGGTTCTCTAGCTCAAGGACAAGGTGTGTGAGCGATTTCATCTTCGTCCGGCTATGTGGCGACCTCGGCCTTGGATCCCGCGGCCGAGTTTTTTCACAGCTGTGCCGCACGCAGGCGAATCCGCGCGCCCAAAATCGGGGCGCGGGCATCGCCTGCGAATGGTGTGCCCCACCATAATCAACTGAAAAAAAAGAAAAGAAGTGAAATTTGGGGGGGGGGGGGTTTTAAGTCGGACAAAATATAATAATAATATACAGAGACACACACACTCTCTCTCTCTCTCTCTCTCTCTCTGTCTCTCTCACTCTCACACTCTTTCTCTCATACACACACACACTCACACACACACACACACACACACACACACACACACACACACACACACACAAACACAGAAAAACAA